TATAATCCCTTCGTCAATATGATCCGATCAATTACGAGATATGAAATTGTGTCAATCTCGATCATCGATCATATCTTTCACTCCACTATTAAGTCAATAGAAATCGAAAACTCCTTTTCGACTTATGAGTACACCTTGGCCAAGGATTTCATCATTGACTTAATTGAATGAAACGCAGATCATAATCTCCTACTATCTAAGAGTGACGAATCCTTTATTGATCAATCACAACCTTCATACGATTCTTGACGTACCCGAACGATGTCGTATTAGCGGCCCTTTTCAGAGCAACATCCAACACCGCCAAAGTATGACTGTCCTCATATAAGGTACCATGACGACCTCAAGTCAAAGGACCAATTTCACTACCGAACGTTAGAGATTAACCACCGACACTCAGATAGTTATCCATGTGGAATCTCTCGACGGGTCTCCAATGTTTTGTTCTATAACAAACATCCACGTGTTCATTTAAGTGTCACCACACTTTAACTTGTGAGATCAGCTACTTACTTCACAAGTAAGAAATGCCACACGTGATGGTCTAACCGTAATAACGATATCCGTATCTCGTTATTACTTACGACCACGGATGATTTAAGATTCAATCAGATGTAATTTGTATCTCACAATCACAACTCCTTGTGATTAATAAATTACAAATATTTGAATCTACGGACTCTATTATTTATTTAATTGTCTATTAATTAAATAATAGATCTGCCATTTAATTACATTAATTATATATAAAAGTATTTATGTCTAAAGTCGATTGGACCTAGGGCATAATACTTACATAACGTTCAAAAAATCAATTATCATAATCACTATCGAACCACCTTTATTTTTTCGCTTCTTCGACATAAAGAGTACTATTTAGCTGTTTGATTTGGTACGATCAACCGTGTTGCTGAACATTCAAGTCAACTCAAAATGCCTCAACTTGCATTTCAATATTCGTCATGAAAAACCAACCCGGTCAATATTTACATCGCCTTTAACCATCTTCGAAACTTCCGAGTCAACTCATCGAAATCGCCCAGAATTTGACTCTTTTATAATCACGGATTCCCACTATAAGAACCAAAAAACAAAACTTGCTTTACGCAACAGATAATTTATGGAGTTTTTCAACAAAGCCAAAGCTGTTCGACTCAAAAGCCATCTCGACAAGTACTTAGTAGCAGACGACGATGAACAAACTGTACGACAGAGCCGCAACAGCGGCGCCTCCAAGAAGGCGCGGTGGACGGTAGAGCTTGTGGAAGGGAATCCCCACGTAATCCGCCTCAAGGGCTGCAATGGGAAGTACCTTACCGCCACCGACGAGGCTTTTCTCCTCGGCGTGACTGGAAAAAAGGTTCTGCAAACAGTTCCGGTGACAATGAAGGATAATTCAGTAGAATGGGAGCCCATTAAGGAAGGGTATAAAGTGAAACTGAGAACTAAAGGAGGCAAATTCTTGAGGGCTAATGGTGCAACGCCGCCGTGGAGAAATTCCATAACTCATGATCTGCCGCACAGAACCGCCACCCAGGATTGGGTTCTGTGGGAGGTGGAGATGGTGGATATATCTGTGTTGGACAACGAGTATATATCGAGCTGCGCCTCTAGTTTTTCATCGGAATATGAATATTCAGCTTCAAACACTCGTTCGCCATCAATTACCCACGAGAGCAGGGAGAATAGCTTGCAATCCACCGCCGCGCCAGAGAGTCGTCGGCCGTCAATCTCCACTTCTCAGAGCCGCTGGCCGTCAATTGCATCAGATAGGTCCTCACAGACAAGTGGAAGACGGGTATATTTCCAAACTCAGTTATATTTGTTACCGATTAAGTCGAGAAAACACAGTATTAATTTTCTTCTACATTTCTTGAATATAGGGTGGAATGGAGTTCTTCAGCAAAGCTAAAGCAGTTAGACTCCAAAGTCATCTCGGCAAGTACCTGGTAGCAGATGAAGACGAAGAAACAGTCCGGCAGAGCCGGAACGGTGCTTCACACAAGGCACGATGGACAGTTGAATTCATCGAAGGAAAAAATACCGTAATCCGCCTTAAGAGCTGCCATGGCAATTACCTCACGGCGGCGGACGAGCCATTTCTTCTCGGCATGACCGGAAAAAAGGTTCTGCAAACTATTCCGGCAACGAAAATGGACGCTTCAATTGAATGGGAGCCTGTAAAAGAAGGGAACTGCGTGAAACTAATGACCAGGGAAGGGAAATTCTTGAGGGCCAATGGAGGGACGCCGCCATGGAGGAATTCAATAACTCATGATATTCCACATAGAACAGCAACTCAAAACTGGGTTTTGTGGGGAGTGGATATTGTGGATATTTGTATATCGGACTCGGATTTGGGGTCGAGTTTCCTATCGCGGACCTCAAGTTTTTCTTCATTGCCGGAGGATTATACGGGTTCGCCGGATACAGGGTCGCCGATTATCCAATCTAGAAGGTCATGTAACGAATCCATGAAACAGGTACTTTCTTCTACACTTACAATATGAAAATAAATTTTTTTAATAGTGAATGTAGAGCTGAAAAGTAATAACGAAATTTGAATCCAAGTACAAAATTATTTTATAAGAAAAACGTATTATTATGAATGAATTAAAGAAAATTTGAAAAGATTATAAAATGGGACTCGAACATGGGCTAAACGGTGTTCAAGATATCGAGCAGTGCGACACATTTTAACCCTTTCCTTCTTGAAAACCAGTTGAGATCTATTATCCATTTTTGCTATCTAATTTTTTGTTTACTCAATTGTAAATTGACACATCATGAAAAATTAAAGTTATCATCGATTTTAATTTTTCATGATGTATCAATTTGTAATTTGATAGATAGAAAATTAGACGGTATAAATGGATGCCGGATCTCAACTCCTTTAAAATATAGCATTTAGCCATCGAATTAAAGCTCCAATAATTTATGTAAGGTACAATAATAGTTGAGTTAGGTGAAAGGAGTTAGAATGAGTAAATAAAGTCAACATGCATGATATAATACAAAAAGATTCCTTTATTTCTAGCGTCATTTGCTATTCTTAAATAAATTATTCATGTCACGAAGTCAATTTCTCGCCACTAGATATTAGCATTTGTTTGATTCTCATTCCCTGTCCATTAAAATGAAAAATATGATCGTTATTCATCATTTTAAGTTGTCATAGTTGACTTTTTATTTCTTGTATGAAACCCGTAAAGCCTATATTTTTTATTTTTATTTTTACATTAACGTGTACCAAACGGGACCTAATAATTTCCACCTATTTAGAGGCGTGAAAAATGCCCCATTATTTAGAAACCGAATAGGGATAAATGTTTACTTAGGAGAGCCGGTATACTCTTTATCGATCAACTCCATATTGAATTTGACACGATTCACTTTAATTCTATAGAACTTCAAATTCGGCGTATTTTTTATGACATGAATGTCAATCGATCAAAGAATCTTGTGTTGACAGCTGCATAAAACATGTTTGATTTTGATTAGAAGTTTCTTTCTTAGATCGCAAGTTAGGACTTACTTTTCTAGAATATTAATTCCTTGATTAGTAGCCATTATTTGAAAATTCTATTTTTTATATACTCATTTTAAACAATACATTCATACAATAAATTATTCTGCATGTAAATTTAAAACTTTTTCTTACTTTATAATCACACATTTTCCACAAAAAATATTATTAGAGTTCGTTTGATTGCAAATATGGAATTGAATTGAATTGAAAACGAATTTCAGGGAATTGAATTGCCTAGAAATTATTTTCCTCAGAATTGTAAATTATTTTGTTTGATTGGGATAATTTTCCATGTAAAAAAGGTTGAAATAAAAGTGTTTTTGATCTCCATTTGGCTTTATTTTACATGAAAATTGTCAATTAAAATAATAGATTTTACTGATATTGGGATAAAAAAAATTTCTATTGTCAAAAAAAAAAAAAAAAACACACAAAAATTTCAAGAAAATAATCTATCTTTTGTTATTCGTTTGATTTTATTTTATATGAAAATTGACATTTAAAGGGAAATATTTTTTTACGATAATTCTTAGAAATTATTTCCATTGCCAACAAAAAAAATTAAAAAAAAAAAGTGCTACAGTAACCGAGAATTCCAATTCTCGCCATTTTGGTGAGAATTGGAATTCAAGGAAAACATGGAATTTAGCTTAGATGCATAAAAGGTGTAATTCGAATTCTAGAGAAAATTTTGTTAATCAAATAACAAAAAATTGGAAAGATGAAATTTGATTTCCATTTTCCATAAAATTGAGGTGCAATCAAACATAGCTTTAAAAACATTATTTTTCAACAATAATGACCATCAATCAATCAGGGGCTAAATTTTGTTAAAGCAAGCAAATAATTGAGGTCTCTGCTAGGGCAATAAATCAAAAGGACACCAATTTGCGTAATCTCCGGCTCATACATTGAAATTTCTAATTACCCTAACCCAAAAAATATAAAATAATGCCTTCAATTTGGCCTAATAGATAACAAAAAAGGAAATAGAAAAAGAAAGAGTGGGACCTAATTAATTTTGTAAGATTTTGTTTATTTTTTCACATTACACTTGTCTCCAAAAGGACCAAATGAAGGTTTGATCAAAGCCAAATCCATCTGCGGATATTTCTGCAAAACCACCCTATAAGAGAAATTATCCCCTTCATCTCTACCAAAATCAAATAAATTATATAGATTGACAAATTTCATAATTTAATCCAATTTCATCGAGTTATTTTTTGCTTATTTTCAGGTCTCCGGCATGGATTTTTTCAAGAAAGCGAAATCCATCCGACTTAAGAGCCATCATGACAAGTATTTAACAGCAGGCGACAACGAAGAATCCACGATCCAAGATCGTGCTGGCTCGTCGAACAATGCTAAATGGACGGTCGAGTTTGTTGAAGGTGTGGACAATATCATACGTTTGAAAAGTTGTTACGGAAAATACCTTTCAGCCTCGGACGAGCAATTTCTTCTAGGTGTGACCGGTAATAAAGTTGTTCAAACTTTTCCACGAAAATTGGATTCATCGGTTGAATGGGAGCCTATACGAGACGGTATGAAAATAAAGCTTAAAACAAGATATGGGGATTATTTACGCGCAAATGGAGGTTTGCCTCCTTGGAGAAACTCGGTAACTCACGATATTCCCCATAGACATCACGACTGGATTTTATGGGACGTCGATGTTGTTGAGATTCGACAAGAATCGCCACAAAAGTTGTTACGGAAAATACCTTTCAGCCTCGGACGAGCAATTTCTTCTAGGTGTGACCGGTAATAAAGTTGTTCAAACTTTTCCACGAAAATTGGATTCATCGGTTGAATGGGAGCCTATACGAGACGGTATGAAAATAAAGCTTAAAACAAGATATGGGGATTATTTACGCGCAAATGGAGGTTTGCCTCCTTGGAGAAACTCGGTAACTCACGATATTCCCCATAGACATCACGACTGGATTTTATGGGACGTCGATGTTGTTGAGATTCGACAAGAATCGCCACCAAAAGTTTCGCGATCTGAATCGTTAGAGGATGATGTAAACTCATCATCCTTTCGTCTAATGTCCCCTACATTCCCAAATGTTCAGGTTTGTTCTCATTTTTGGCATGTTATTACACAGTTTTTGACAAGTTTAGCGTACAATCTTGTTCAATATTGCGTACTAAATGTTAGGGTATCAATCTCACATCTACTAATTACTGAAATATAGACCAATATCTCCTCCAACAAGCAATTCATTCATATGAAAACTCAAAAACGAGCATATGGATTTCTAGATTGGTCTGCTCAAACGAGTGATCATCTTCTGCATGCATGTTAAGGGATAAATCGCACAAATGCACTTCTATTTTAGTGTATGCTATGATTGTGTATAAATTATATTCTCATACGTAGCCGTTTCGATGCACAGCCTGGTGGTTTGTCTGATGACTCACCGAGAAAATCTGAAGGACGGCTTATATATTACAACGTTGCGGATGATTATGGTAACGTTAACGATGTGGTCGAAGGGCCTTCTTTTCAATTCAAAGGGCATGGATTGGAGGAATTGACAGAGAAATTGGCAGAAGAAACAGGGCTTGAAAACATAATTGTTTGTTCGCGTAATCGAGTAAATGGAAAGCTTTATCCGCTTCGGTTGTCTTTGCCTCCCAACAATGCGACTATGCACGTTGTTGTAGTTCCCTCAACATCCCGAGGTTCGTACACTTCGTGCTTCAATAGTACTTGACGATATAATGAACAAAATTGAAGTTTCTTTTTCTTTTATCGAGTGATATCCAATCTTGACTAAGCGAACTTTATTTTGTGTATGAACACCGAACTTTAAGCATATGTTTAATACACTCGACTAGATAGTTCGGTGGAGACAATCTATCTCCTACAGTCGGTGGTACATGCCTATGACATAGGACTTTACATGGTTAAGATTGAGAGAAACTTAGATGTTTGTTAATTGTTCTTGTCAATTTAATACAATGTTTCATATTTTTACAGAAGATCGATAATAATCTCGTTTTCTCCTTTTACAGTGGCCAGTGATTTTATATAGGAGACTTCCACTTCTGCGTAATGTGTTCTTCGTCTCAGATAAAGAAGCAGACTCTCTATCCATAAAGTGCTGTGACTACTACAATTTTTCGATTATTTCCAGGATAAGAATTGAATGTGCTGTCCAATGCTACTTTCCAATGTAAAAGTTTCATGGATGAGGCATTCCTCTATTTTTTATTATTATTAATTTTTTTGGGGTTATCGGGGAGCTTCAATTGCGCTCCAATCAATGATCTTTCAATCTTTTGGAGTTTTTAATTGTGGAAAGCAATGAAATACAGCGGAATAATGATGTATATCGTCCTCGTGTCGTATGGGATGAAATGATAAAATCAATTAAATGTCTGTGGTTACGAGACCTATCTATTAACCATATTCGGTAAACTTTGTTTTGATTTTATCAAACCTTTTACTATTAGGATTTAGGAACCAAAACGTCCAAGGTTACCCTACAAACTACCAAGGTTTGGCTACAATGATTCTCTAACTCTCCGACATTAGAACGAAACTATGCCTATTGATTAAGATTAATCCCTGCTACTACTTCGTCCTTGATAGCATTGAGATGATCCAAGTCTGCTCTCAAAGGTGATAGAGTTGATTGAGTTCTCCCATCTCCCAAGAGATGGAGTCCCTCTTGTTGTTGTATATTCTTCATCTCTTTGTACATAATGCATTTACAGGGATTTTTATAGACGATGAGGTGGCAATACTAAATTGGCTAGTTTGAAATTATTTTTTGTTCAATATCTAATGAAATTGTGCCAACTGACAATCTGTTAAACTGTCTGACAAAAATTTCTGTACATATAGCATGATTGCTTCATCTAATCCAGCTAAAACTTGATTCACAAGACCAGTGTGTGAAATGGTTCTACTAGCAATCTCAAGATTGAAAGTTTCATTGTGTTAAGAGATATTGATCAATACTCATAGTTCTTTTTCCTTGTTTTCTAGAGTTCACTAGTGAGAAAGGTTATCCTGGATCTTCTGTTTTGAATGCCATAACTCTCCTTCACCATAGCCCAAAGTTGGTTGGAGTTGCTAGAACCCATAACTCTCATAGCTATTTTAGGAGTCGTTGAGGATTAAATCCACCCCATCAATTGAGGATTTTGAACAGGGAGGGATTCAGGATTGGATCCAAAATCAAACTATAAAATTTTAAACCGGACTAATACGCGAAAAAGAAAAAAAATTTACACACAAAAAACTATTTTTTTCAAAAAAACAAATGAAAAATGCATTAAAAAAATAAATTTCTTGGGCCTTGGGGGGGGGGGGGGGACTATAGCTCAGCCAAGCCCAGTCCAGTCCCCCCCTATATCCGTCTCTGATTTTGAGTCATTTCAACGCTAACTCCTACATCTCCAGTAGTTTGAGTGCCAATAAATTTTGGAGGATACACCTTTGTATCTAGAATGTGGCCTTCAAGATTGTGTCCATGAATGACAGGCACAATCATATTCTACCACAATAGAAACTTGATTTTGTCAAGCTTGACACTGATACCATTTGAGTTAGGTTGACACCAAATGGTGAGAAATGGTTGCTTTGCTGCATTGGAGGCACCATTTTTGCTTGAAGCTGGTAAGGGTGGAGAATTGGAGTTGGTATTTTATAGTGTATCATTGGCGTTGGTCATTCTCAGCTCTAATACCAAATTTGAATTCTAATAATTTTTTAATGTGATTTTAGTGTCTGTTTCTTGAGCCACAGCTTGATGTATATATAAACTTTACAGACGAGACTAATTAGGAAACATAAAATACATAATTTACAGCTGAAGCAATTTCCTTATATGGTCCATGAGCCTTTGAATCGACCACAAGCAGAATTTTTGGTTTGGGAGAGTTTATTATGGTCGATCATTAATGACATAGTTGTAGCTAGCAAAAATAGCATCATTTGTTAAAAAAATAAAAATAAAAGTAATCACTTTGTGTTATCCGTAGGTTTTTATAAATAAAATAGTAAGAAAACAAAGACAACAAAATTTTTTTAAATAAATAAATCAAGTTTTGATTATAAAAATTCAAAATAAATCGAAAAATTTTAGAAAATAAATTAATATCATAGTTTTCCATGTACATAAATACAGAGATAAAGCAAAAACAAAATACAAAAGATTCGTGCATGATATAAGTGGAGGAAAAAATATTTTTATGCTTGAGTTAACTAAAAATAAATTAACTAATACTAGGATAGTTAATTTGTGCTGAGATTTGTACGATGAAAAGAGAAAAAAGTTTTTGCTTTTCTTTCGGATTCAGAATGGAAAATGAATGAAATGTTTAGGTTCAAAAGATTATATTAAATGTTAAGTATAGTGTTTGTCAAATTACTCGTCAAAAAGTGTAATACTTACTTAAAGTCAACATTAACAAGAAAAAGGCTGCTTCTAAGTCTACACAAATTTAAGGGTGGTTCTTTTCGTGTTTCAGTTTTATAGTTTTGAGCTTTGAATTCATTTTGGGTTTTGTGTTTTGAGTGCCTATTTTGAAATTGTTGAAAATACGTTCTCTTTATCATTTTGAGAAACTGTTTTTCAAAACATTAAATTGAAAAAAACGTTTACTTTGAAATTTTGAGAATATTTTTTTATAATATTTTATTCAAGAAATATAATTATTCAATAAATTTTAATAGTTTAATGTTAATATATATTATTAAATAACATATAAATTTTGAAGTTGGTAAATCTTGAAAAAAAAAATTTGACAGATATAAAAAACACAATCTAAATTAAATTTGACAATACAATTCAATAGATATTATTAGAAGTTTACATGCCATGGCAAAACAAGCAGACACTAAACAAAATATAAAGTACATCCATGAAATCATGTACGATGTCTTGAGTAGTCATTCCACATTTGTGTAGCAATTTGATCCCTGACTTGTCCCATTTGAGCTGTTTGACTAGCATCAAAATGTATTACTCTTGATCTTGACTCAACTCCGATATGTCTTGAAATACCATATTCTTCTCTGAATACTCTACGAACAACTTATCTAAATCGTACTCCTAACGAATTGTTTATTGCGCAACATGCAGTAGGAATTTGTCTTTTCCAACTAAGTGGATAATTGATAATCAACTTCAGAATAGAAAATTTTGCCTTTAAAACTCCAATGCAACATTCAATAATGTTACAGTACGATGAGTGTCTATAGTTGAACAATTATTCCTTTCCACGTAGGCTTCCCCATCCAACATATTCACACAGATGATATCTTTGATCTCGATAAGGGGCAGGAAATCTAGCCATGTTTGGATATCCAGAATCAACAACGTAAAATTGATCTGCAAAATAAAAAAGGCTTACAGAGTGTGATATTGTAAATATATTCGCAATAATTATTTGAAGTATAAGAATATACCTCGTGGCATTGAAAAGTTGTTCGAGCTTCTTGTAACTGCATCAATGAATACTCGAGTACCATTAGTAGTAACTTCCCAACCAGAATACACAAATGTGAATTTTATATCAAAATCACATGTTAACATCACATTTTGTGTTACATTAGTTTTCCTTCATTGAAAAGATATTTGTCTCGATACAGGAGCCCAAGCTGCAATATGTGTTCTATCTATTACGCCTATACAATCCTTAGAGAAATGATATTTGCTCAAAATCCGCTCATGCACAATGTCTTGATTTGTTTAATGGATTATCTCAATGCCAAATGAACAAACAGCCCTTACAACTCATTTAAACCATTTATGTATCATGTTGGTGGAATGCTGAAACCTATCACCAATAACAATGTATCGTGTAGTGTGCCCTATAATCATCAGAAACATAGCAACACCCTCCTCGACGTTCACATTTTTCCCATCTTTTAGCAACCCTTTCTCTTTCAAGATATCACAAAAATTCATGAAAATGCGTTTCTGTATATGAAAATTAGGATAGCACATGTCCGGATATCCATTCAAAATTTCTAGCATGTAGATTTTCCCTGTAAGCAATGATGTTCTACAAGATCTCCTGCTATTGGCATTTTCTTTGTTGGCAAAAAAGCAATTAAGCATCATTAAATCACAAAAAATTGTGTCAAAATCATCCATATATAACAAATCATCGTCAGTCGAATCTTCATCAATGGAATCATTGGCATTCACATTATCATCCACATTTGATTCACTGGCCAAAATAATTAACACAAGTCATATCAACCACCACTCTTTTGAATAAAACAAGCAATTAAGCATTTAGAAACTAGGCAAAAATTAACATTAGTTCCCCAACCAACATTATTATGTTCATAAATGAAAATAGTACAACATCACCACAACATGAAAAAAAGTACTTCAAGCTTTGAAAATAACACAATACTTCAACTTTCAATATCACAAATTAAAACAACAGTAACATCAAAGTAGTTCCAAGATAGGTCATCTCTTTGCTTCTAGCATCTTCATAAATGACACCTTGAAATCGGTAGAGATGGCAATGGGTCGAGTCGAATCGGCTTGACCAGTATCCACATGAGCTCGGCTCGACTTGCCACGTGGTTCATTTTCAACGGATTGCGAGCTCGTCTTTTTTTTTTAAACAGAAAAACAAATGAACACAAATACATTTAAAAAAAAAATTAATGAAGACAATTTTTTTTATTGCTATCATATAGTAATATTTTCTATAAAGTGTTAAATATTTATGTAATGAAGATGGTTTTTTTGAAGTACATATTCAAAAAATACATTTACAAAATAACATTTTTTTCATTTTCTTTTTAAAGTCGATAAAATGTAAACCTTCCTCCTTTATTCGAACTTGGGACCAGTAATATCAATTTTAAATAGGCGGAGTTAAAAATTGTACACGAACAACTTTTTATAATGTGTACAATTTTTTTAAATAATATTAAATATAACGTTAAAAAATAAGAAATTCTGATTAATATAATTAAATAAAATATCACTTACCTGACGACATGCAATTTCGGCATATTAACTCTTTCAAAACATCTTCTTTCAATCGGCTCCTGACATCGGTCAAAACCCTTTTACCTGCATTAAAAGCAGACTCTAAAACAACAGATTTAACCGGATGTGTAAGCAAATATTTCGCAATTGCAAAAATAATTGGCCAACGTCTTTCATACTTTCACCAGAATTCAATTACTTCTTCTGAAATTTTTTTAATTGTTTTGTCTGTTGACATTTTCTGATTGAAATAATCAATTAATTCGATATGCGTCGCATTTTGAGTTGCGGTCGATATTTGATGAGATGCAAATAAAGATGACATGACACTTATAGTTGCATCATATCTATACGTATTAATGCCTAGAAATAAATTCATTATTTTGTCGTAATCTTCTTCAATTTGAGGAGAAGGAATAGGTGCAGAGGGTACCCGACTAACATTCGC